AATTTGGTTGAAACAAGGTTTCCCTGAGCCCAATGTGCTGAGGTTTAGAAAGCTTGCCTCACAGTGACAGGAGCAAAATCCTCTGACACGGAGCCAAGGCACCTGCTGGGTGATCTGAGAGAGACAGCCAGAAAGGTCATCCAGGTGGTTCAAACTTAGGACGATGAGTCATCCGTCTTGTTTTCTTTTTTCACGGTGTAGATCGAGCAAGAAGCAGCATGGTCTCCACAGAAAGTGCCTCCTCCACTTACGAAGAACTGGCCAGGGCCTACGAGCACGCCAAGATGGAAGAGCAGCTGAGGCACGCTAAGTTCACCATCACAGAGTGCTTCATATCAGACACGTCGTCCGAGCAGCTGACTGCAGGGACCAACGAGTACACGGACAGCCTGACCTCCAGCACCCCTTCAGAATCGGGGATCTGCAGATTCACTGCATCTCCCCCCAAACCTCAGGATGGAGGACGAGTGACGAACATGGCGGTTCCAAAGGCACATCGGCCAGGTGAGAGTTGCTGCATGACAACCATCCCAAAGCTGGTTGGCTTAAAACAGGAGAAATTGTTTCTTTTGTTCTTGAATCTGAAATTTTGTCAGGGCCCAGTGAGGACCACAAGCTAGGGAGGCTCAACGGGTGCTGGGGAATCCATTCCAAAATGGTTTGCTCACCAGGCAAGCTCATGCTGGCTGCATCCTCTCTATGTGGGTCTCTCCATGAGGTCGCTAGAGCTTCCTCATAGCATGGCAGCTGGGTGCTAGGGCAAGTGTCCCCAGAGATGGACTGTGGGAAAAGCCAGTGTCTGAAGGCTAGGCCTGGAAACTGACACGACATCATCTCTGCCCTATGCTATTGCTCAAGTGGTCACAGAGCCCACAGAGACCAGATCCGAGAGGAGACACCCCCTGCTTGACAAGAAGGGTGTGAAAAATGGAGGGCTGTATTTTAAACTGCTGCACTGAGGGCTCTTGAAAGGAGAGAAGTCTTACCAGTAGCCAGTGTTTTGGACTTGATTTACTCAAGGTGACCGTAACTGGCTAATGTCAGGTCAAACAGCAGTTTGGTCTTGACCTTGAGCATTTGTGGATAGTTGGGGTTTGTGGATGAGAGCTGCAGATTCGAAGGTCTGCAGGGCCTGGTAGATAATGTACACACGTGCAGCATTGTGGGAGCTGGCTAAAAGTAGTGATGAGAACAGGGACGATTAAGGAGCTCACGGACTATCTAAAGGAAAAAGATTTGCAAGCTCCTGCCAACTCACCCCAAGTGGAAGTGAGGGCAAGTATGGGCTCGTGTTTTAAGAGAAGCCAGAGATCTTGGTTTTATATAGAAACTCACAGTTTTTAAATGTTGGCTCAGGTATTTGCAAACCGTTGTACAGGGCAAATAAACCACATCTGCGGTGTGAATCCAACCTATGGTGTCCAGTTGTAGTTTTCATCTGGAAAATCACCTGTTCTTTTTCACCCCGAAATGGCTGCCTGTAGACTTTCCTTCATGGACTGGCCTATCCAATCTTAATTCAGTTTTATTTCTCTTTTTACCCATTTCCTGAACCACTGTACTGGTTCCATTTCAAAAACTTGTCTTCACTTTTGAATAACTGCAATTCCCTTGGGTTTTATGGCATAAGGCCCAGCTGAAATGAGCCTTATAAATGCATAAAAATACATAAAATAAGAGTCATATATCCAGCAAATAAGTTTCCATACTGACTCGAGATTCACACCTACAACAAAGAATGATGGCTTCATTTATTTTCATTCCGTCTGCCTCCTCAGGGGAAAGGACAAGCTGTTATTTGTGGGCGTTTTTATTTCAAGTATTTTTTGTGGTTGGCATTTATCTGCAAGGCAAATGCAAAAAATTATGGATAAATGCCATAGCTTTTTGTGGCTTGAAGGTGAGCAGGGCAGGAGAGAGGAAAATGAGCCTGTAGGCATGCTGTTCAGCCATGCCCGGCTTCAGTTGCCACATCTGTAAAATGGGCATAACCCTGGTTCCTGCATAGTGAGTTTGTGTAAGATGCACATAGCACACGCGGGCAGAGCGGTTAGCAGAGAGGTGCTCAGCATATCAGTTCTTGTCTCTGTTGTGGTTTTGTTGATGTGGTTGTTAGAATCCCCCACAGTGACTCAAGATGTGCTGCTGCCCGTTTTCCTTCCTGCCTCTAATTTCCTTCGGTGGCCACTGAGGTCCTGGGATGAACCACCTCACTGGTATGTCACCCAGTTAAGTGCTTTATGCTCTAAAGCCAGCACGGCAGCATCTCCCCTTCATGACTGACCTGCGGCAGAGGATGAGCTTCTAGGCTTCTTTAAATAATGAGAGGCTTGAAGTTTCTTTCTGATGCCATGTTGTTCATACTGTCAAATTAGTATCTTTTTAAAAGTTTAAACTTTGTTCATGACAATGTTGACTGGATCCATTAGAGCAACTGAAAAATCACAATTAAGTGACTATCATCCTAACATACTATTTAGAATAGAATGGTTTTATGACTTTAGGTGTGAATACTTTCTTAAACCAACACAAGTTCTAATGTCTACAAACTCTGTTTCTTCTTCCTTAGAAGACTATTATCATTGAACACTTGGTATGCTTTACAAAAATATTTCCTCCTTTGGAAGACTTTCTGTTACACTTTTATAATGCAACTAAATGAACACTGGGCACAAAAAACAAGGTTGCAGTTTTATTCTGCTGACTCAAGGCTGTGTCGAAACTAGCAGCTCCTAGAACTGTGTTTTTAAACCATATTTTTTACCTTCATGTCCTCTTGCTTCTAGATGCTACCAGTCATTATCTGTTTCTGTTACGGTCTTCCAAACCTCTGGATACCTTTCTCCTCCCCATTAGCTTTTCTTCTTTTTGCTGATTCTTCCCCCCTGCCTTACCTTTTTTTTTTTTTTTTTGTCTTTCTTCAGTACTAATAATTATGATCCCAAATTTTTAAATTCTTTATAAATTGGGATCAAGTTACATGAATTTGGCTAGATCATGGCTCCAGAAAAATAAGAAACATGTCTTAGTTATTTTCATATTTCTCTCCCAGGGTTTGCAGATATTTGTTGGGCACATAGTGTTCAAGAAGTATTTTTAAATGAATTAATGGTATTGAATATATACACCTAGCACTTGTTTGGCGCATACTAGGTGCTTCATAAATGTTATTAAATCAATGGCTATATCACAGTTGTGATAATGACAAAACTGACCCATTGGTTAATATATTTCAGTTATTAGAAATTATTGGTCAAATACAAGAAGATATTTAAGTCTACCCGATATTCCAGCATTCCTTTAAACAAAGTGACTTATTTTCTCTTCTTGCCCTTAACAAATCAAAAGGAAATCTCTTCCACAGAGGACCAGGTGCTCCCCATGAATCGTGGATAGCTGTACACAAGACAGGCATCAGAATCCAGCTTTAGATTTTTAATAATACCTAAATTTTGAGTTTGCCTCATTTTTAGGGCTTATGCATTTTAAGTAAAAGCAATTGTGTGATTTTTTTTTCAATAAGGGATGACTACTTTTATTTTTAAAAACAAACAGAACTCTCTTTCTCTAAAAAATAGCTGGAAAATTTGACAGCTTTTTTCCTCTAGGTCAAGGTGGATTCCAATACTTTGATTACAGTACCTATGCTTGGTTTCAGGTAGCATTTTGAGCCAGTTTCTAACATTCTTGGATTACTGCTGCTTCTTTATTCATGATGTTTATCCTATGCAGTCAAGAGAAGCCATCACGTGAAGCTTATTAAATCAACTTAAAGCTTCAAATACGGAGCCTACTACAGCCTGGCCTGCCAGCAGCAGGGGACACGCGGCCTCTTTAGATCTAGCATTCACACTCTCTGGGGCCCCTGTCTTGAATGCACACCAGCCGCTCCTGTGATGAATGCTTTTGATATGAATGCTTTTGAAGTTTTCCGTCTGGAAATAGCCACTGCCTGCCACCAATTTGCTGATTCTCTGAATAACCAGTTATTTGAAGCAGTTATCAGATTTTAACTTTCATATCTATTCATCCCATACACTACTCTCTGCGGAATGTGTTTAACCAATGAGAGTGAGCACCCTCAGCCCACTGAGAGGCCCCGCGCCCTCACCTGCAGGGCCCTCACCTGCAGGGCCCTCACCTGCAAAGTCTGCCTCTGTACAGGTTGGTGCTGTTCTGACTAAGGCTGCCTTCTTCTCAGTTGTCATTCTGATCATACTCTTTTCTTTCTCTGAAGTCTGCATGTCTCCCGTGTTGGCTCTTAAATCAAAATCGGACTCCAGAAAACTTCAATGCCAAATAATCCCCCACCTCCACCTTCACACTACCTGCACGACTCTCGCCATCTGAAGGCTGAGCTCTGCTCCCGACAGGGAAACTGGCTCAGACTGCTGCTCCCACCTAACAGCCAAGGCCTTGCTCTTCATCCTTGCAAGCAGTGTGTCTCCCTCCTCTTTCTCCTCCTTCTCACTTTTCTTCCCCTTCCTTCTCCTCTTCTCTCCTCCTCCTCCTCTCCCGTCCTCTCCCCCATTCTCCACTTTGGGGCTACTGGGGCCCCAGGCCTTAGGGCTTGCATCCTGTCCCTTTCTTNACACTGAGGGTTGCGATCCGTTGCCGGTCACGAAAAAAGACAAAAAAAGGAAAAAAAATAATAATAAATAAATAAATGGCTGTATCACAGTTGTGATAATGACAAAACTGACCCATTGGTTAATATATTTCAATTATTAGAAATTATTAGTCAAATACAAGAAGATATTTAAGTCTACCCGATATTCCAGCATTCCTTTAAACAAAGTGACTTATTTTCTCTTCTTGCCCTTAACAAATCAAAAGGAAATCTCTTCCACAGAGGACTGGGTGCTCCCCATGAATCGGGGATAGCTGTACACAAGACAGGCATCAGAATCCAGCTTTAGATTTTTAATAATACCTAAATTTTGAGTTTGCCTCATTTTTAGGGCTTATGCATTTTAAGTAAAAGCAATTGTGTGATTTTTTTTTTCAATAAGGGATGACTACTTTTATTTTTAAAAACAAACAGAACAAATGAACAGAACTCTCTTTCTCTAAAAAATAGCTGGAAAATTCGACAGCTTTTTTCCTCTAGGTCAAGATGTATTCCAATACTTTGATTACAGTACCTATGCTTGGTTTCAGGTAGCATTTTGAGCCAGTTTCNATAGCCACTGCCTGCCACCAATTTGCTGACTCTCTGAATAACCAGTTATTTGAAGCAGTTATCAGATTTTAACTTTCATATCCATTCATCCCATACACTACTCTCTGCCGAATGTGTTTAACCAATGAGAGTGAGCACCCTCAGCCCACTGAGAGGCCCCGCGCCCTCACCTGCAGGGCCCTCACCTGCAGGGCCCTCACCTGCAAAGTCTGCCTCTGTACAGGTTGGTGCTGTTCTGACTAAGGCTGCCTTCTTCTCAGTTGTCGTTCTGATCATACTCTTTTCTTTCTCTGAAGTATGCATGTCTCCCGTGTTGGCTCTT